AAGAATTCCACCAAGACAATCCGACGGAGTATAGGCGATGGCCGGATCTGCCATTCCTAAGGGCGAGACCATTTGTCAATGACAATTCCTCAAAGACAGAACGAATATACGAGATCCTCTAAGCCTATTGTTACGTATTGTTACGGGAATACCCCAGCTTTCAAATTGTTGGCCGATTATTGAATGCTTAAATACGGGTATCATTTTATCTAGACTTAAAGCCCTGATCATATACTCATGCCTTGTGGCCCTCATAACCTCCACTCTATGTCATTTGAGAATCTTCCCTCACATGGTTTATCGGGAACCCACTGGCAATAGCAGCCCCTTCTAACTGCTTCAGCAACTCTGAGCCATCTCCTGCTGGCACAGGTCGATGCGAAAGATTACACTCGACAAAGATTGAATCGTCCATGTACTGCCAATCCGACACTTCAATTGCACTCTCGGAGAGGGAACCCTGAAACGGCGAGGAGCTGAGTGCTGCGCAAGTCCACGCCATCTGTTGCAATATTTCTATCATGGTGTGTGTCCATGCTGATACTGTCAATCGTATTGAGCCATCTTCGACTTCGACATGCAGCAGGCGTAGGCCAGGACACAAGAATGGGTTTTCGGTACCATCCCAAATCGACATGCCGGTGAATGAGTGGCCCTCAAAGCTCGACGCTGAAGCTTCTTTGACGGCGTCTTCGATACATCCCAGGAGGAGTTCGCCGCACTTGGGCCACTGCTTCACTGTATACTCAGATATCGTGGTGTAAACGCAGTCATTTGCGGTGCCAGTAATAGCCGGCAAGGAGCCCATTTTGACGAGTTGAGGGTCTCCGATACCTTGAAGGGGGCCAAAGAGTTGACACTCAAATTTGAACTGGACGGCGTGAAATCCATCTCCAGGGGGTCGATAAGGGGGTTTCATGAGGATGTGCCACAGAGCTGATTCCATGAGATGCATTTGCACATAGTGGGGTGAGATCAAGACCTCGCGTATCCTTGAGATAAGATGCCTCGCAGACCTTCCTGTCGTGATGTAGGTATGGAGAGAAGCAGCAATCTCATTGGGTGTGCCCCTAGGTGAGCGGGCTGGGTATTCTCTGTCCCAGTAACTGCAGAGGAGTTGGAGAGCAACTGGCAGTTCAATACCCCGTGCTGCCTCGGACCATGTTGCAGAACGTCGTGATATACCTGGACCAAGTTTGTCAAGTAGGCAACGGGGTGCTTCAGGTCCATTGAGGATCAATATAAGTTGACAAACAGGTCCATCGAATAGTTTCTTGATTTGCTCAGTCGAGTCCGGGTTCGAATCACAATAGAAGACCCACAGTTCGTCCCATAACATCAAGGTGAACTCGGACAACAGTCGATCCAATATCCTATCAATATTGACGCGAAAATTTTGCTCGGGGAGATAGTAATGGGTGAGAAGTTCGTTATTCAACCCATGGGCAAGGGCAGTAGCGAAAGCAGCAACGAGAGCGCCAGCGATGAGTGGCGGCACCAAGACCTCGGCATTGCTCGGTGACTGAGCAGTTCTCGGGCGTCGACTTGGCAGCGGTGGCTTGATGATGCTCAAAATAGAAGCATCGACAACATGATCGTGTTCGTGCTCGTGCGTGGTGGATAACACGGGGGGATGTGGTGGGGGCATGGTCTTGTTGCAGTCATGTCACCTCATGGAGCATTTTTGTTTGAACTCAAAATTTACGGTTAAACCGCAAGAGTCTCATGTTGAAGATTCCATGGCAGAGCAGAGAGAGAGCACGGAGTAAGGTATCTTGGGACATGTTACCTACTATATTTTCTGGGCGGAGCTGGGGCAAGTTTTTGATGGTCAAGAGCGACGATGCGCTGCGTTGCGTTGCGTTGCGTTGCGTTGCGTGGCATTGCGTGGCCCCATGAGTAATTGGATTAGTCGGCTCTTACGCCGCCACCCAAAGGCCAAAGCAAGCGATAATCCATCACTCAACGGTTTAATTTAAAAATATTCTCCGTCTTCAAACAAGTCAATCATCAATGGATGGATGATCCTCTTACGAATGTGAATCCTCCTTTAAAATGGTTGACGAAGCTCCTTTTTCTGTTCGTATTCCGTACGAGTCTCGTCGCTTGGACTCAAAATGAGCGTCGAGGCCGCGTAATGGCTCGGTATGGGGCCATCAGATCCCCCTCATCCCCCTCAAGTGATGGGCAATTAATTTGCACAAAAATCGAGCTTTTCTTTATCTTGATTGATTTGAAAAGGAGCCGAGTGACGAGGTCCTAGTAAGAATGAATGTGAAGGAGGAAGAGGAAGTTGTTCCCTTTGCCTTTTAAACATTGTCGCTTAATGAGGCAGTGCATCAACCTTGCACGTCCACTCTCAAGCCTCAAATGACATAACACCAACACTATAATACAAGGAGTGTAGTGATTTCCTATTTATTTTAAGCTTGTACATAGGCTTAACAATCACGACACACTCATCTGCCCTTGTCGAGATACAGTCCACTTTTATCTAGAATTGCCAGCCTCATACTAGTATCCCTGAAGCCTCTCCTTGCCGGAACATGCACATACTATCTCGATTGATACTTCAGTTCAGTGTTGGAAACCTCAGTGGCATGCCTTCTGGTCCAAGGCGTTACCTGTTATGTTTATGTGAAGCTTTTCCCCCAAATCATAATGTTCGTTAAGATGCGGATCAAGTGTTCAGAAACGGTTGTCACACGATCTATGAGGGTTAATTCTTACCCAAACTGCAGGTTCTTCAGAGTTACCACTCACTAAAGAATCTCCCAGTAAGAAGTTTTCAAGGGGAGAGACGGGGTCTGCGGAAAAGATTTGTAGGGAGGTCAGAGGGTGGTGTGCTAAGTAGATAGGAGAACTACACAGAGAATGTCGGATGACATAGCTTTTGGAACACCATTTATACAAAAGAATCAATCAAGTGACCCTACTAGTGATTCACTGAACCTTTATAGAGTACAGAGATGAATAGGGTATCGGAGAGTCCAATGGCTTTAGCACTTATAGGCTGAGATAGTAACACCTCGCCAACTACGACCAGATCATGTATCTGACGGTGACCCGATCTTTTGGCTTGGCCCGGAGATCCTCAACAACACTCGTACTGAGGATAGGCCCTGGATCAGCGATTTCTCTCGCAACAGTATAGATATGTTTATTGGTATTCTAATTACCACTACTAGTCTTCCGGCTTACCTGGCGTGGGATTCATCTATGAATTTCGAATCTGATTCGCCATAAAGAATCTCTCTTATACGAGTCCGGTGCTATCATTAGCCTGATAAACTAGAGATCGTACTGTCGTGGAGAGGCGCTCTGGAGTGTCCGGCAGTTGAAGGCTGACGTGGACTGAGTCCACTATCAACTGGACGTGATTTCCAACTATCGCCCCGTTTGCAAATAGCCTTGTGACGAAGTAATTTTGGATCCTTAGTGCGGCAGTAGCTGTCATCATCCAAGAAAAAGTTGTGTTGAACGACTGGTATTCGTTTCCTCCGTTCAATAAACGGTTACCTTTGAGATGACTCCTGGAGCCGGTTGTGAACATGATCTTGGTGAAGATCAGATCAGTTTCGGAGCTGGTCTTGTAGTTTAGGTTAAATAGGCAAGAAGTAATGAGTTGTGTCCAGCAGGGCGTAATATGGTGATATCCGGATAGGTTATTGTTTCTACTATCTACCACTGCCACGACCACTGCACACAATACATTTCTTTCTCAAGCTCATCATCTGCACTATTCATCTATGCAGAATTCGACAACGCTTTCCTCTTCTCTGCCTCATTGCTAGCGTTTGTTGCTGTTTGCACTGCCTAGAACAATTGCTGCGAGATATCTGACATCGACAAGCCCGAATAAGAACAATACAATGGATTAACTACTTAGTGGGCAAGTCAGGTTTCAAGTGTCCCGTTGATTCTTAGTTATCCTCAACTCTCCCATGTTTATTTCGTTAGCATTTGGTCCTCGACTTTCGATTTTGTGGCTTTCCTTTTGTCATTCAGGGTGACGGAGATGGCCTCGAAGCTAAATCGTCTTGATAAGGGCTCCCTTGACAGCAAGGCGATTTCCTACTTATACAAGAGATATGATTTATACCTGAGAGACACTTCTCTTTCGTATGTTGGAGTGTATGATGTATACAAATATATGCTGTACTTACTACAAGGTGAATCATTAGTCTTCAACATTCGTTTATTTTCTGAGGTTTGTTCACAGACATACTCCTTCATGACGAGATGTGCCAGTACATAGTGGCCATCTGTTATTTGTGGATAAGCTCGAACTGATCAAGTTCAAGGGAGATTCCTGAAGCATCATTGTTCGAGAGGACGAAGGCTAAAGAGAACCAATGCCGCAATGACTATTCTGTGCTTTGTTGATATATGCGAGGCTTCTGGATAGTTGCTTGCGACCAGCAACTGTTGCTCCGTTGAAGTTGGGTTCTCGACCGCCTTGGGCTTCTCAGAGCAGCAGACTTCCCGGCCAAGTTTGTAGACCTTTAGCAGCCTTGAATTCCTTCTGAATCACGGTCCCGGGTATTGGAAAGGTTGGGTGTGATATTGTGAATGAAACAGCGGCAGTTGACTCATATGCGTTTGCTATGCCTCAATACTCAAGAGTGTTGTTGGTTAACTTCTATTGATGACGACCAGGACAAGCGCGAAGATAGGGTAGGACTGGTTTACTTACTGTTTGAGAGATATTTCAATGTTCATCCGTGATCAAGAATAACAATATGTGGGTTGGGGGCTACTTCTATTGACACTGCAGTGCCAGTGATTCACTTCACAACCATCGTACTTTTTCTGCATCCCGAAAAGGTATTTAAACTTCGCTTCTCCTCCATAATATTTCATTCCTGCATGAGAGTCTATATCTCCACCGTCGGTCAGTTTTCTTCTCTTTTCATCCTTTTCTAGGCACCTTCGTCAGGAACTAACCTTAGTCTAGACTCGTGATACAACAGCTTCGGGAGCTCCGACAAGATATCAAGATGGCAGAGGCCGCCGCGCTTGCTCAGCAAGTTTCATTAATGTTCACCGAACACGCTGAACTACGAAAAAGTAACGCGGCACAAAAGAAAGAGATAGAGAACCTCCAAGCCCAGACCGACTTCTACGCCAACGAAGCAGAGATGCTCAGAGACCTTCGTATTCTCTACGAATCCAAGCTCGAACAGAAAGACTCTGAGATTTTGGGCCTACATGTCCTCCTCGACAAGGTAAAGGTCGATGCCGATATCTGTAGGGACGATCTGAGCGGGTTGCGCAAGCAGCTCAAGGACCTGCAAGCCAAGTATGAGGCAAGCCAGAAACAAGTTCGCGATGGTGAGACAAAGATTGCCCGCCGCAATTTCCAAGTCTCCAATCTTATTTGTGCCCTGCGTCGCAAAATTTCTGCCAACCGCATCTCCGTCGTTGCTCTTCGCGCTGCGTACAAGGTTATTCCAAGCTTGGAGCAGAAAGCTCGCTGCATGAGGGTTCTTTCTATGGCGAGGAAGTTTCCGCACAAGACTGGTATTGAGAAGGAGATGAAGGAGTGCCTGGCAGACGCTGGGCTCTTGATATCGTTTGACAAGAACGGCACCATGGTCCTGACACGATCTGTGGAGGTTGTCAAACTACCCGCTGATGGTTATAAAGAGTTTGATGAAAGTATCACCATCGTCGAGAAAGATTCTATGATGACTGACAACAGCGCTTCCGATCAGCATGCTCAACAGAATGTTAAGAAAGATGAAGACGTTCAGATGTCTGTTTAAACGTCAGCAAACTCTACCACACTACTGTCCAGTGCTTGCTACGATGGGTCTGGGAGTATTTGGACATCAGCACAAATCAGCATTTGCTTCCAATGCTTGATCATTTGAGTTGATTAATTGGAGTTTTCACCACAAATGAGTCATGCTTGTTCGTTTGGAACATGATTGGGGTTCACCTGTACCAAGTTGCTACACCAAATATTGAGTTCTGGTTGGTGTTTCTTTGCTAGCTTATTGCTTAACTACACTCTCAATAAACAAGTCGCCCGGTTGATGATGATAATTTTGTACTAATCTAGCTATTCTTGGTCCTCAAGTCTCAAATTTCACGACTAGTTTCCGTATTGTTTTTCAAGCGGCCAACGCGGGCAATGCCAACGTCCGCTCTGTTTCATCCGAAGTCTTGGACAAGACTGTTTTTTTACTACACGTCGGTGTTGGATCATGCTAGAAACAGTATGCTCTTCATTAAAATACCACGTATTGCACTGTTTGATGCGCAACAGCCATCCTAGCGAGCCTCGTTTGCATGAATCACCTACATGCAACCTCCCGTTGTCAAGTGATAAACAAACACAATAACAATATCTTCTAAATGCAGGCAGTCGTTTTTATCTCAAAGCTTCCCTACCTAGTTAAATATCTCATAAATAGGACACTTTTCTAGAGTTGAGTTAACTTTGATCTCCTTATTTTTCCTGTTGCTATCCGACGCCAACTCCGTTTATCCCAGCAACCTTGAAGATCAGTCTCCGACTGCAAGCCACCGCAATCACCAAATTCCCCCTCTAGAGCCCTAAGCTATTTAGAAATGAGGTTACTCTATTTCACGGTTTCTACTAGTCCTGTTGACATAAACCGTTGTGTTGTTATGTAAAGTATTACTAGGCTTTCAGAGAGTATAAGAACGGGAATATCATTCTCGTGCTTCTTGGGGGCATACAGGTGGTTATATCGGCACCATGCATAAGTCTCCTGAGTATCCCAAGTAACCCATCTGTGATTACCTACATATCCGACAAGTCTGTCGTGGGTGGTAAGTGCAAGGACGTAGAAGGAATACTGCTTCCTCGTTTATACTCATCTAATATCTGTCTCGTTCTTTTTCATGTCTTGGGCCAGAATTGTACTCTTCATTAATGGGATGCTGTTTAAAATTCATCAATATTTTTTCAAACCAAGATGGTCGAGTCTTCATATATCACCACTCCTCAGCTTTCGTCATTCAAGAATCTACCCCCCAGAACTGACAAACGCAATTATCAACCTACTGCCTCCAGATTCTCTTGCCTCTATCCGCCTCTGCTGGCCTCATCTCGATGGAGTAATTCTGTCTCGTCATTTCGAAACAATTCGGGTTTCATTCGCTGAAAAAGATATCGAGAGACTGCAGGCTGTTTCGTCAACTTTTCCTTATTATGTCCAAGAACTTGTCTTTACCACTGCTCAAAGTCGTGACACGTACAGTGACAAATGGGGGCAAGTCTTTACAGACGACAAATATCAGAAGTACGTCAAAGACATCCGTTGCAAGTTCTTGGCTTGTGTTGATTCTTTGCCCAACTTGCACACGTTTACGTCTGAGCTGGGTCCAATCAGTGGAATTGCCACAAAGGGACATATAGACGGGCTCGTGTATGCCATATTGCCTGCTCTATGCCGCTCTTCGTCTCGAATCACAACTAACTCTTAGATGTCAGGACCCCCTGACCTACATGCGTTGGTTCTTGTCCAAGGTCTGGGGTCCTCCTGAAGAGGTAATCAAGGTTATTCCCAGAATATGCACCGGGTACATTTGTACCTGCTGGAAAAGCAGTCCCCGACTTTCAAGGCTGAGCTCGTGTACCGCCCCGCCGTCTGGCAGAGGGACCGATTGGATATACCCCAGGATCCCCTGGGAGTGGAGGACTGCCTTGCGAGGACTCACGACACTTGACCTACAGACTGCTACCGCAGGCGGTAGCTGGGATTGTTAGGAACAACTCGTTGATAGACTTGCTTACTTCCTTGAGGGAGCTGTCAACCTGCAAGAGTTGTCGGTCAGATGGAGACGGGTTGATCAAATTGGATCTGCCGGCCGTCCTCTTATTCACTCCGGTTGGCAGTTGGAGCATATTTTCCCCGGCAGGTGGAAAAGTCTCAAAACCATCAAGCTCACCTTCATCCAATTCACATTCTCCGCCAACCCTTTCAAGACCTTTATTCGACGGCATGCATCAACTCTACGACACATCATGCTTCACAACTGCCGCAGCGACCCACAAGTTATTAGCATCATCAAGTTTGCTGCTTCATGCCCTGATGTTCATCTTCATCGGTTCGCTGTCTTTCCAGCGCATGAGAGCCACCCAAGGGTGGAGCTCCTGGATGAGTCATATCCAGATGGGGAGCAAATAGTTGTCGAGAAACCTCGGATTGTTCCAGAGAGTGCGGTACTCGGCTTCATCAACAGCAAGGACCCTCAGCACCCCGATCCGTTTGCCGCGTGGGAACCCCTCGAGTATGAGTATTGGGGAATTGTCCAACAGAAGGCTGAGTCGACTTCAATAAAATGGCCTCGGAATAACGGGATGGCTGTGAAGTGTAAGCAGTGTATAGACGAGACTGAGTATAGTTTATAGTCCATGTCAGAGTTCATCTTGAGAGATGGCCTGGGGTCACCCGTCGCCGATTACATGGAGCTGGAAAACAAAGGCACACATCAGTTAGTTGAACTAATTTTCATAGTTTCAGTAAAGAAAAGCGACACATTTTGATTCAAATAGCATGCTATGCTATTGGCATAACTCTAACCGCATCCAACGCCAATTTCTAATAGTTATTTCATGGCCGTTTGGCCTAGCATTTATCTGAGTTAATAGGAGCGGAGTGCCTCGTGAGTATCGTGCCAGGCCATCACTGTCCCTGTGCAACTCCAGCGCTGGCAGCACTCTCTCCAACCTTGAGTTCCTCCTCGGGTACACCAACACCGACACTGGCTACACTAGCAATACTCTGTGTCGTCATGCCTCGTTCCCGCTCACCGCCTGGTCTAATAGGCAATCCCTCCCGAGGGCCTGCTATGCTGGCTCCTCCAGCAGGGGTGACGCTCACGCTGGCGCTGGTGCTTGCGCTTCCACTTCTGGGGCGGCCTGCATCACTGGCTCTTCGTTGCCGGACCTGTCTCTCTAATTCTCTAACCTTTCGCTTGAGAGCATCATTCTCTTTCTTAGCAGTCTCAAGTTCGTTTCTGTAATATGCTGTCTCTTCGTAACGCATGGTGGCAGGCATCAACCCGGGGCTTAATTGTTCGCTCACACTTCCAGGGGTTGCACCAACTGAACTAGGTGGGATCGACGTAGGTGGGGGGATTCTCTGGTGCTGGAAATAGTTGGACGGATCTAAGCTGCTGTGCTGCGGTCCGGGAGAATTTGTGAGGCTCCTTCGAGAGGCGGTACTATCCTGCCGTGAGAGAGGGGTAGCCTGGGATGGACGGGGGGCATGGATTCGTGCTTCGTAAGACGATGACAACTGTTGATTTCCAAAGCTCTGCGACGTGGTCGATGATGTTCGATGATGTCGGGCGGTGGGGATTGAGAAGCCTGAGCCTGAAAGGAGAGACTGCTCAGGTACATCGTGAGTTGAGTTGGCGGCAGAGGTAGAAGAGGTGTTGGAAACGACGGAGGCGTTCTGGGCAGCTCGAAGGAGGGAGAGCTCACGGGTCAAACGGTTAACCTAAAGATATTAGATATAGCTACTAAATCGAGGTTTAAATCTTGTACTGACCACGGCCTCTTGCTCTTTTTCAAGCTGGAGGTGAAGCTCGGCGGCGGTCAACGGACGAGGATGTCTTATCGGTCCAGGTCCCGGGCCAACACCAGGCTCAGCTAGAACATTTGATGGACCATTATAAGCTGGTTGCGAAGCGTTTAACACGGGCGATGGAAGAGAAGGCGAATGCGACGGGTTCACCGTATTCTGGTTGGAAGGGAGGATGTTGAGAGATGGCGACGCTGGGGCTGGCGGAGTAGCCATCTGTGTCGAAGACTGGCGACGAGAGGCCGCAAGAGTACGTGGAGAGGGGGGGACTGAGTTTAAATCCGGCATGCCGGTCATGAGGTCCGTATTTGTTTTGAAAGTTGATCGTTTTCTAGGTAGGTAGGTAAGCTTGGTGGAAAAGTAAAAGTAACGCGTAGTTGAGTGTTGAGGTGAAGCTCTGGCGCGTTGTTCATGACCGTTACCTACCGTCACCGACGGGGCGAGCGGGGTCCAGCGGGCCGGTCACTAGCATGGATCCATTTGCACCGGTGCTTTGGACGCTAAAACACTGAATGCCCCCTAGAAGTCCCTGAAAAGATTCCGACTGGCTGCGATGGCGGGGGTCTTGAAACTGTGGTATGAAGAGTGTTCGGTGAATGGATGTTGCCTACCCTGGAGAAGATAACAACACTTTCGATTTAGGCTCTATCGCTTCAAGTAAACCCGTGGTAGCAGTTTTTAGACCAGTTTTGTTAGATCGAACATTTACCCACCACTTTGTTGGTGACGAGTTCGGTAGGCACTGCTTTTAAAAATCACTGTCCAGTGAGGCCAGTAGCATCAATATTTATTAGTTATAAGCCGGAAAACAGAACTAACTAGCTCTCATAACCAATTCAACCATAAGTCGACAACCTCAGTGAAATGAACAATTAAAGAATGTCTAAATTAAATTGATAGATGACTATTAAACTCTCAGTAAGCCTTATAAATATTTATCACTATTAATCAACCTCACAGTAAGCATGATAAACTCCAGAAACTCCCAATACAAGAAAGTGGGGAGCTTCAAATCACCAACGAGCTCTGACAGCTTCACACCTACTGAGAACAACTTATCAGCAGCTTCTCACTGTTCCTGAATTAAAACCACAAAAGGCCCGTATCTCGACCCTCTTTCAGTAAATCATTGGCTCGCATCGTTACTCCATCAAAAAAACACCATCTCGATCTCCCTCCTGTCCATGATGTAATCCCCCTATGACGGCATAGAATCCCCCCTTCGACGTCAACTTGCAATCATTGCTTTCCACTTCTCGTACTTAACCTCGCACCCTTCCTCATCCGAGACCATTCCGCATCCAAACAAACTCTTCAACAATAACTCAATCCCGAGCCTCTTCACATACCAAAAATCACAGCAATCATGCCTGAGGGACGTCAATCACCAGCTCCTGAGCAGCAGAGCGGCCGCCAGCAGCAGGATCCTCCTGCCTCTGGTCATGGAATCAACAAGCCTGATGGCAAGGACCCCAAGAGCCAGCTTGAGGCAAGAAACCCTCTAATTTCATTTTCGAGCATGATGCTAACTGCTTATCTGCAGAACCTCTCATCGAACCCCAAGGGTATCACCGACGATATTGTGGAGGAGAAATTCTCCAAGACTGAGAAGAAATAGTCAGTCAAGCCAAAATAATAGCTTTGATGAAACAGTCTTAACATGGGAATAGAATAAACGATACCATAATGGTTATGAATTGATGGACATGGGAATGCATAGAACTAATAAAACACGACTGAAATAGTCGCCTCATTTCAAACATAGTCCGTATCTCAATCGTGACGTGTCTGTAAACGTATTTTATATCTATAACTTAGGTGCATTCCGAATAATGGTGCCAAATTCAATATAAATCAAGAGACAAGTGGTTTTCACATGTCACAATTTTCGCTGAAGACTTTTGTCTTATTTGCGAGACCGATAATTATTATAGAATGTGGATGGCAGAATTCATCTTGAATTTATTGATTGTGACATGCGTAAAATTCGTAACAATTCGTTAACTAGTAGGCTGCAACAAGCCATTACATGATTGTTCCGTCAGAGCTCAAGAAATCCCCATTACTTCCTCATTACTTCACATATCCCCAATTTCGATAGCTTAGTGCTTCTCACCACCCTCAGGAGCGTTCACGTTGGGAACGTTGTCGGCAGAGGCGGCAGGAACTGATGTTCCAAGACTGCCCTGGCCAGCCTCAGGAGCGGCGGTACCGGAGGTCTTCTCCTTGCCGAAGACCTTCTCGAGACCAGCAGCCTTGTAGGCGCTTCCACCGTGCTCCTCCTTCTTGAGATCAGCAAGGCGACGAGCCTCAGCATGCACCTCTTGAACTTGTCGGCTGCCCTCGGTGTAGAACTCGGCAATCTTCTTGCCGGTGGGTGTGTTGGAGGCCTTCTCGAAGTAAGAGCTGAGGCCGAGCCAGAGGCTGTTGGCGCGCTGGGTGATACCATAGCTCTCATCGGTGGCCTTGGCTCGGTCGGTAGCGTGATACTTCTGGTCGAGGCCCTGGAGGGTAGAGAAGAAGCGGTTGGAGACGTTGTGAGAGGCATCGAGGTCGAGGGCACGCTGGATGGCGGCGTCGCCTACGACATAGCCGTGGGCAAGGTACTCGGCCAGGATGCGGGCGCGGGGCTTCTCCTCTTGGGTGATCTCATCGGAATCGCGGTCAGCGTTCTTGGTGGCTTGGTGGACATCGTCTTCGCCGTCAGCGCCAGCGCTGGTGACCTCAAGATGGTTAGAGCCGAGTTGGGTGTTGTTGAGGAGAAGAGCAGTCTTCTTGGCAGTCTCCTTCTCGAAGATAACCTCAGCGGACTTGGTCTCGCCCTCTTGGGTGACCTTGAGATCAGCAATCTTGCCACTGGAGGACGTTAGCTGCGAAGCACAGAAAGTGAAAGAGAGCAAGAGCTTACCAGAAGCTGAAGAAGTCCTTGATCTCGCTGTCGCTAGTGGACGAAGCGATGTTCTTGACGTTGATGGTAGAGTTGGTAGACATGATGAATGTGTGGTTGTGCGTGTTTGTGGTTTGGTGTGGTTAATGAGGGGTATCAAGCTTGTTGTGGTGAAGGATGAAGGTAGCAAAGGGCAGGCAAGTGTTTTTAAAGAGTCGAGGCAAATAAAAAGCAGGAATGACGACACCGTGATAGATCGTGACGAGGCAACGAGGCAGTGGCAGTTTGAGCAGGAGCTTGTGTGGAGGCGGCTCCCTCACTCCCATTCCCTCGAGCTCAGACGCTTAACTCACTGCGGGGCAGAGAGCGACGTCATCGAAGCCCAGGGTGCCATGTGTGATGGCATGATGTACTTGATGAGAGCTACATGACCTCACACAGAGTATAGGTGGCGCGGTAAGTACCTTCTAGCAGCATCGTGAATTGTTGAGATTGATCTCTTGGAGAACAGACTTAGTACCTAGAAGCGGGCTGGCTGTCACTGGTTGCCCTTGCGTCGTCTCTCGTGGCGAGGTGATGAGACACTTCTCAGGCCAAACCAAGTTGCAGAAGAATGATTTGCTTTCCTTCTTTCACATGTAAAGGACCCTTTCTTTTTCCTTTTCCTTTTCTTTTCTTTTCTTGACCTGATCGTCTTTGCATATGATCATCGAGGCTTATTCGTTACCCTCCCAACATTATGCTCATAAGCCATACAAACAACACCACGAGAGTTACTGTCTACGCGTCTTGATACGCGTAACGGAAAACTAAATATCACCCGGTGGGCTTCATTCTGAGGCGTTTACCTCTGTTCCTGCTTTTGGAACTTGTAACTGTGTCATTCGGAGACAGTTCGTGTGATGTGTTGGGTTTAGTATGATTAATCTGGGCGCTAATACTCTCTCTGTACTCCGTACAGTAGTTCCCGTTCGGTGGGTTAACGTTAGGTGCCGTGAGTTGCTAATTTAATCTCCCCTCGGCGTATCAAAATGCTCAGGATAACTGACGTGTGATAAGGTAACCTTGGATTGAATACACGGATACATGTGTATTATCGACTCATCATACCTCCTTAAAAGCCAACTTACACCATTGAATTCAATTGCCATTGCTGAATCACCTGCTCTTCAACACCGCCTTGGCTGGATCTTAACGCCAACTCATCCGTCTCCATCCCATCGCATCAACCCCTGTCCATCAAGCGCTGATGGATTTTTCCAATGCGACTACAATTTCCGTCCTCGTTTGCGAGCCTCGACTTAATGGTTCGTTCGCAGGGAAAAAGCTCATGCTATGGCCATGCCATGACATCTGTTCCACCATGGCCAGTATTGCCTGGCATCATGTATACCAACAACCTCATTATCACGCAACAACACCTCCTGTGACGCCTCGCCACTCTCTTTTAAACGCTTCCTCATCTGGCAAAGTTGCTCCTTCAGCCCACTCTCCCGCTTCGTTAGACAGGCGTTGGGGGTCACACGCCAACTTGGCGATCGCCTCCATTGACAAGGGTCGTCATCATCCTTGCTCAGACGAAAAGACAGACTCGTTCCCATCTTCTCAAGTGAGCAGAACAAAGGAGCAGGCTGCTCTCAAAGTACCAGGAGAAACTCAATGTCCCAGTGGCGCTCTCTAAACAGCTGACGTCGCAGCCAATGTTGCAGCCATATTCGTATATCTCACTGCATTAAAGTATTGATTACGGCCTTTTCATGGCGCCCCTCTCGTATTTAAATGGGATCCTTCACGGGCTTCCAGGCGGTCAAAGCGGTTCTCGCCTCCCCCAGACCGCATTGATTGAAATTTGCAACCCTAGCCCAGTCACTATCAACTTCTAACCTTGAAAGGAGCACACTATAGGCAATTGTTTCGCGCCAAGGAAACAAACTAAAAAGAACCCATATTCCCAGTTTTGTTGGCCTCGCTTCGCTCTCACCTCTCTCTGTTGGTGATTTCACCGCTCTCGTGCTCACTGCTTCACTCTTTCAAATATCGGCTGTTCTCGCCCTGAGAAGGAGAGTAGTATACGGTTGTCGTTTAAAAGTTTTTGATTTCGCAGGTTGGGAAAAGTAAAGGCAATTCAATTCTTGGAGTCTCTTTGACAACTCAGCCCTAACAAGGAGATCAGAAACCTGCCATGCCTCTCGTTCCAAGCTCGGCACCGCTGCCCAGCAGCATGACCACTATTGCTTACTTGCGCGAGCAAGAAATCCTCAACATCGTTTATATCGGCCTGCTCGTCATTGAAGTTCTTATGGTTTTGGGGGTTATCACTATGGCTCTTGTTAAGCGAGTTAAAGTCAACCACCAACTCAAAACGATACGATCAGCAACCACTTCCGCAAAATACGCTCCCTACCACTTTGCGCATGCCGACACGGAAAAGACGATGTTATGACGATCCGAAAGATGACGAGAAAAGCGATACGAAGAAGAACGATAACCTCAGATCGGTGCTTGACCACTACCGCGCCCGATTACTACGATCATTCCATTTATTCCTTTGTTCACCAACATCAACACAACGTCTGCGCACTTTTTTATTCCAGCATGACAAAGAGGAGAGGAGGCTGTTCATTATCTCGCATGGTTTCAAGGCGTAATGCGTTTGTTCACTTGCAGCGGAAGATATGATTTACGACTATATATACCCAGACTTTCTAGTTAATGCCATTTACGCTTTACTTTGCTTTTTTATCGCCAAAACTGAAATATTGTGAAGCCGATACTAACGTCATCTTCTAAACCTCAAACCTCAGCTGCAGTGTTGCACTCATGGCTCACGAAATAACCGTCATCATTGACTCGCCTGACATTTTTGGCGACCGACCTAAGAGTCGGTGCCCACACTGCAAGTTCTACCCCAAACATGTCGAGAAAAAGGTATGCGAAGTCTGTGAGTGCCTGATGGGAAAAGACGAAATCGAAGCCTTTCTCGGAGGCTTAGAACGGAACTGGCGTGTATACCATCTAAGTCGACAAGGATTTCTACCCAGCCGCGCCGCCCTCGAGGATGCTATGCGCGCTCGATTGATTCAGGAACAACGCTGCGTACGCCTTTGTTGCGCCCGACCGAAGACACCCCTTCATGTGCATTGCGAAGACTGTCGCGAGATGTTGCTCTGCAAAGGCGTTCCCATCGCGGTTGTGAACAGAAAGATTTATGAGCTTACATATTATGATCCTTTTCCAGACTACGATGACGACTCCTTCGTAGTAAGAGTTGCTAGAGGCGAGGCAATCATCTACGAAGCGGATTGGAACTGGGATTGCTCGCAGGCAAAGTTTGTGCATCCCAGCCGTAAGAGCTTCAGAGGAAATCTCAGCCCCGAGAAGATAGTCTGATGCATGGTTATATCTAAGCTAAGAGACAACTACTACCCATTAATAGTTATTTTACAGGATGATCCCGTTGATGTTCCAGGCTCAAGTAAGTCGTGGAGTTTTCAGGTGAATTCTTGATCATTCAACTCAGGGGTACGAACCCAACCACCAGTATTCTGGACTATTCCTACACTTCTAACTTAGAAGGTGTCATGTCCGAGGCATTTCAGTATAGAGGAAAAAAGCGCTGCTCGTTCATAAACCCCTGGCTATCGTTCCGCTCACTATAGACACACTCATTGAGTTGTCAATATCAATTCCTATTGGAGACATAAGCATCCGCATACCTGAAGTAGTTTTTCGATGAATCTCCCGCTGTTGGCTGCTGAATATTCTGAGTGAACTGTCAGATATAATGTGATTATCATCAATGTACCATCTGTCAACTACAGCCCTATCTATGTATAGAGTTTTACCATAGCTGCGTAATTCCGACAAAACCTTGCTTGGTCTGAGAGGAGGTTTCGATAGAATTAAAGGAGCTGATATTTCCTAAATGGTGTTCATTACTCTTGTATGGCGAACTATCACTTGTGTGTCGGTTCGAGTATCTGGTTCAGTTGCCGATATTCAGGGGCTCTATTTTTCAAGAGCGCCCCGGCGTTTATCTTCGTACGTACTTATAGCAGCAGCATATGCATTAATGTTTGAAGTAGTTCCAAGTTAACTTCTCAGCCTTTCGTAAACCGAACAAGAAGTGTTGCGTCGATTAGTTGGGCATTGACACTGTTCTCTATCCTAAGTTGAGACCTATGCATTCACATACAGCAACGATACGCAATTTTAAGCACAGCGCCCTTCATATAAAGTTGAGGAACATTGCCACTAGGTTTACCAAGTAGCCGTAAGTAATGAGCGCTGGCTTGCTTATGCGGCTGGGCCCTTTCAAGTTGTCCGCGGAAAAGAATTGCTATGTTCACCACACATTCTGCAGAGGATCCCATAAACTCGGGAATAGCTGATCCAGGTAAGAAGCCTCCGCCATGGCAAAGCTAGAAAAGTCCAAAACCTCTTCAGCGCTTGGGTCTTCAGGCGGAGTCATGGCACGTAGCTTCTCAACAACGTCGACATGTTGAGCCAAACAGATATCACCCAAATCCCAAGCATGCTTCTCCTTGTGTTCACGAAGAGCCGACAATAGGTCCGAGGCTATCTTCAATGAGCTACTTTGAACCAATCCCGCTGTTGAGTTTTCTGTCTCGAGCGCGCATCGGAGAAGGAAGCTAACGGTTGTCGAAAATGCAAAAGCGCTGCTTGGCAACCAGCAATCAGCCAAATGCTCGGGCTGTAACTCCTGAGTCAAGATGAGAATGTCCTCTGAAGTTCTCCGAGCTTGCATATAACGGTTCAGTAGGCGACTATCCCCTGTATCGCGAACTCGCTTCTCGGCCTCAAGCTCGATTCTCTGTAATAGGAGTCTGACTGTCAGATATGATAGGCGAAGGTTGGCAGCACCAGGAATCTTCAGGTTGTTTCCACGAATGACGACTCGTCGGATTTCGTCACTGAGAGTCTCGATCCAATTATTCAGAGCCAACTCTAGATGTGTCGTATCTGTGGATTCATCTGAAAGACTGAATTGATGGACATGTCTCAAATGTAAGTCCAGGACCTCGGTCAAACCTATCAGAGCGATGTACACGGAGGCGTTGAGAGCCTGCTCTGAAGAAGATCCCTCTCCGCAAAGGGTTTCGACGAGAGGCTGGGGCACATCGTTTAGAGTCGAAGAGATAAGCGGCGGGGTTCCATGCGAAAGACTCAACCTATCTACACGTTAGAGTTGCAAAAGGGGGGTTGTGAATGGCGTTCATGTACCATTTATCGTGAATCAGAAGAGCCCACCATATCTTCATTCTGAGGTTCTTCTCAGACTGCGGTATTTCCCAGGATATTGGACTGTGGTTGAGACCCAGTGAATGTGCCATAGCAACTGAAGATGCCAACAAGACGCCATTTCCTATCAGGGCGGTCACTTCGCGACCACCGATATTCAGAATCAAGGCTTCTATGGTGGATATTCCAGGAGATCTATGTATCTGGGAATAAGCTGCCTCAGTTGCAAGATTCCAGATGAAACGCCCGTCAGGACGTCGATGACGGGAAAGAATAGGAGAGCTATTCCAGAAGGTTATCGAGTGGGCATACAAGCCACTGAGAAGCGCTGGCGATATGACAGATTTGTTCTCTCTATATTGCTTACGGAAATGACCCTCGTCAAGAAGAGGAAAGCAAGAATTAGCCTTGTGGAAATAACTGAGCGATGTTAGTAATTGTAGCCCCAATCTGTCAAAAGACTTACACATCAACAAGATCACTGGTAAAAGGCTCCAATATCTTCTCTATAAGCTGCAACCTTTCCTCTGCGAAACTGAGGTTTGAATCTAACCCAACTGGCCGTTTCTGTACAGCAGTAAACAGCACAGGTCGAGACCTATTGCCTATGGCTGGCCTGATAATCCGTGAACCTCTTGAGGCACTGGGTATGGAAGATAGGTAGTCCGACAAAACCTGGTTATCGGAAGTGACTGCAGGCCCAACTATGTGAAGATTGTGCGGTTGCTCGTCGTTTGAGCCCAATGCCAAAGGTGACTCCTCCGACTGAGGGTTTTGCTGGACCCATTCTGTACTTCTTGGCACAGTGGGAGAGACACTTGACGCTTGGTTCTCATGAGAGGTGTTGTTTCTCGACGAATGGTTAGGCGCTGAAGTCAAGGCTGATTCTACAACAGGCACTGGCTGTCCGATTGTAGAATTGTCTGAGATGGATACCGCCGGGGGGCCAGATGCCAGGCTGATTTGACGGGAATTTCTAGCTGTCGACAGCCTTGCTTGTCTCCGACGCCGAGGAGTTTGAGAACTTGAGCGAGACTCCGTGGGAAAGATGCAATCCGTGCGGTGTGCCCGGCACATGAGACAGCAGCTAGAAGATGCCTCGGACTGGCAGCGGGACTTGCGTTTTCGGCATGGAATACAGGCCGGCCGAAGATGGGACCTGTACGGCCGTTCGTTAGAAGTTGCCTGTTCCATTTTTGTATTTGGTAGCTAGAATGGAGGATGTCTCGCTGTAAGTTGCGTGTAGAATACTTTCCGCGGAGTGTGCTGAAGCTGGTGTTGATAAGAGGAGTTGGCTTCCCCGCGGGAAACTAGCGACACAGTCCGCGTACAGTGTATATGACAGTGTTAGTATAAGTCAAGAATGTTCTGAGGAGAACCACAGATTTCCCACAAAGCGATAGACGTATTGTGTGCTTTTATTGAAACAAAGACCTAGTCATATGAGTACATAATATTGAAAATACCACTTACCAACCTTGGCCGTTTAATAACTATCGATAGCTCGGTCATCTTTTAATGTCCCGTTATTATCTCCTATTTCGTAGTCATCGACATGTGCTATTGAAGGTGTAGCTGAGGGACTATGCGATTCGAAATCTCGAGTCATCTCATGGGTAACCAAAATAGAACCATTGCTGTCGGTTTTGTGTGGCAAAATTTCCTCCGTGTTATCATTCTTGGTATGTGCGCCGCCAATAGCGTGACTTGTCAATCCATGTGCGCTGTTGCCTTTTGATTTGCTCGGTAGGTAGCCATCCTTATGGTTCTGGTTGTAGCTTTTGAGTGGGATAGATCCTCCTGTCTTCTTGGAGTCGCTCCATCCATAGTAGTTGTTCGAACTTCGTCGGCCGCTCGAGAGTCCCAAGGCATGGCTGAGCCAGGGGACCTTTTGAATGACCTGGCGAAGACATGGGATCGTGGAACTTGCGACGAGAGAGGCCAATTCGACTTCGGACCATATCATAGGCTCGGCAAATTCATCTAGAAACTGTTAGAAGCGGTGAAGAATTCGTTTCACATAACCTACAAGTAGTATCGGGCCCAATTCGAGTGACAAAAACGATGCGAATGATCGAAGTGACGCAAACCCTTTTGTGGTAAGTCAAGGCTGCAACAGAGGAGACTGTCAACTTACAATAAACCAAGGGATAACATGGCAATCAAGCCCAGCCTCTTTACCACAGGGAGATGCAACCTCCACATCACGGGAATAGGTTGGACAAAGAGGAACAAGTCGGTACACATGGTTGGGATTTTGTTAATATATGAAACTCTCGCATATGCTTTTTCCGACTCACCGCACATCACCAGAGTACACGAAGATCAAGACACTTGGCGTGTGCTGGACGGGGTACTACATAAGCTGCCATGACAGGCCGACATTGGAAGATGACAATGAGCACTTCTTCTATAGCCTGCATTGCTAGGAAGACAATAAGGCATTTGGTGAGGATCCGAAGAACAGACTGAGGGTAAATTCGGAGATAAAGCACGGCGAATGACGACTTGGCACAACCGATACCAAGGGGGAGGCAAGAAAACATGAAACCTTTATCCTCAGTGATGAAAAGACTTAGTCAATTTAGTCTAAGTTTAGAGGAGTCTTTGACTATGACCTCCCAAACATCCAGACTTTGCGCCAAATGCTCTGCTCCTTCTCCTCTGAGTTCTCTTCCTCCACGTTATGTTGCCCGACAATAGTCAAGAAAACCTGGTCCAGCGTTGTTGGCATGACGCTGTAGTGGCCCACGCCGAGTTCTGCCTTGTTCTCCTCCAGCAACACAATCAGGTGTCCAATGGCACTCTGGCTCAGATCAGCCTCTCGGTCACTTGTGATCTCTTCCTCCCTGCGACCAGAAGTTGCTGCGAGGACTTGGCCAGCGCGCACTGAAAAGCGGATCTGGCCATGATATGTTTTCTCATCGACATCGGCTGAGGGCAAAGTTTGCCGAATCCAGTTTGTCATTCGGTCCATCTCCTCCTGAGTAGTCCGAGGGGCACTTTTGGCGACAAGGTGAATATGCAGGGCGTCGCCGAAGCGATGTCGAAGATTATCTGGCGTTCCCAGAGCAAGCATCCTTCGAGCAAGAATACCAGCACGACCAGCCAATGCATCTGCTTCCTCCATGCTGTGTGTCGTGAGAAGAATTGATCTTCCAGGGACTGTGGCCTCGAGCGTTCTCCACATGACACGCTTTGAAGCAGCATCGAGACCAGACGAAGGCTCGTCCAGAAGCACAACAGTGGGATTGCCCATCAGAGCGATTCCTAAACTCAGTTTCCGTTTATTGCCTCCAGATAGAGCATGCGCCATGCGAGTAGAGAATGACTCGAGCCCTACTGCCTGCATAACAGCCCGCACGTTGTGTTCGACGTCGGTGACACCTCTAATCTTGGCGTAGAATTCGAGATGCTCTCGTACCGTCATCTGATCCATAGCATCGAACTGAGGGCAAACGCCCAAGTTAGCTCGAGCACTGGCGAGGTTCTTGTTGACGGATATATCTTCCACCAACACATCGCCTCCATTTCGGTCCGGTTTGATATCACCTCTGATGAGAGAAATTGTTGTTGATTTTCCTGCGCCATTCGGACCAAGAAGAGCAAAAACTTCGCCACGCTTGATACCAAAGGTGACGTTGTCAACAGCTATGTTTTCACTGAAGCTCTTCGTCAGGTGCATAACTCGGAGACCATGCTCATGCCCCTCATTACGAGTGACTTTCACGCGCTCTTCAATGATGTCTTCGTCAACATGTTCCTCATCTGATTCGGCCTTGTTCCCTCTCTGGAAGAGACCTCGGAGAGATGCTCCCGCTGTGCCAGTATCGAGCCAAATCAAAAGACCAAAGAAGATGAGTGATTGAAGGATGAGGTACAAAATGGGTCCACCATAGTACAAGATCCCGCTTGGGCTTTTGGTCACGCTAACGCCATCACATGCCGTAGAAAAGAGGTTGGTAGAGATGAAAAGCGCTTTCAGTGCTGAACCTATGGGGGCGAATGCGGAAATGACAAAGTGAACAAGGCGCAAGGAGCTGTCAACCTTGGTCACGGGCGAGTAAGTCAACACCGACATGTACGCAATGATGTAGACGACAAGAACGAGAGTCTGGCTCGCCGCTGCCCAAGCGTACGTTCCAAGTTGTGTCTTGGTGAAGAGGGAGACAAGGTACGCAAATACTGTCGAAGCTATTCCGTATAGGAACAAGACGAGGAAGACGTAACCAAGGTTGAACCATATTTTGGAGACACCAGCCCATATCGCCACCACGATAGCTGTGCTGACCAGGACAATGATCAGATCAAACAGGAGGTAGGCTATCCAAAGTGGTAGCGGCCGAACACCGTTGGAGTATTGTAAACCGCGGATGAACTTGCGCCGCTCATTGCTTGGGTAGAGTGCGAAAAATGCAGGATAGACCGAGAGAGCGATCGACATGTATATAATCATTTGAAGTGCATTACCCGTCGTGTCACTAACGGGAAGTTCAAAAGGAGCCCAAGACGTTGCGATACTGACGTTGGACAATACGACATCCAGCATCTGCTGTACGAATATAGGCACCTCGAGAGCGAGATTAGCGACCCATGCAAATGTAGGACCTTGCTCCTCATCGCCCAGCCAGATTCCTCCGGTGATGGTTTTTCGATCCATCTCGATCTTGTCTTTGAATTGCTGGAAAGTATCGACCACGCTAAGATTGTTCATGTCGAACCTCCTTTGGCTTTCATTTCCAGCGTTACCCTTTAAGATGGGATTTATGAGGCTGAGTAAGTCACTGCTCAACTTTGATGTTGGCCCAGCTAAGAGGCGTAGTGTAATGTTGTCTCCTACTTTCCTTTGATCAAACAAGTTTAGACTCTGATTAGCTTTTGTTGATTGCTTCCTTGGGTCGCAAGTGGCCCTATCTTTGTTAATAACAAGAAGGGCGGTCAATCCACCAGCGAAGATTGGAAGAAGAAAGGCAAGCAGGTACAAAAATCGATTCCGCTTTAGAATAGTCAGGCGCTTGCGGAATAGAATCAAACTTTGTTTCACGTATCCAACTCGTTGTCCATTTGTAAGTGCCAACCCTGGATTGTCGCTTCCCTCCTCTTTGGGGGTGACTTTTTCAGATGACGGGACAGACAAGGGGTGGTTTGCGTTGCGGAACGCTTCTTCATCTCTGATCTCCTCAGCAACCTGGAGAAAAACATCCTCAATAGTTGGGCCCGAGAAGCGATATTCTGTGATACCAGAAGCTTCAAGAGTCTTGATGACAACTGCTGCGAGTTGCGAGGTAGGAGCAGTGTATGTGATGAGGTCGAAGGCATCCTTCTTTGCAACTTGATCAATGTCTGGGGTTTCTCGAATCCCAATGTCCTTGGGAACATGAACTCTGTAACCACCGCCCATATTGTCCTTCAAGGCCACTGAGGAGCCTTCTGCACGCAGAGTTCCCTTGGAAAGGATGGCGATATGGTCGGCAAGAAGATCGGCCTCATCCAAAAAGTGGGTGGTCAAAATCATTGTGCGTCTACCACGCTCAGCAAGAATGATGTCCCAAAGCTTTCGTCTCGAGAGCGGGTCAATGCCACTGCTGACTTCGTCAACGCAGCACACGGCGCTTCCTCCCGTCAACATGAGTCCCAGCTGAAGCTTGCGTTTCTGACCACCCGAGAGAGTCTTTGCAAAAGCCTTTCGTTTTTTATAGAGATCGACAGATCTGATCAGGTCTTCAATCTCTTGTGTGGTAGCCCTTGCGTTGGGAGCTTTTAGATGATTGAAGATTCTAATGTGCTCTTCCACCGTCAAGTCATCCCAGAGCACGTTCTTTTGGGGAGCGATACCAAGGCCACCTCTGCCGTCGATTTTGATCGACCCACTCGTCAATTTGTTCATGCCTGCAATAGCATCGAGCGTGGTGCTCTTTCCACTGCCATTGGCACCCAAAAGTGCGACAATTTGCCCCTGGCCAATATCGAGATCCAGCCCGTTGACGGCGAGAACAAGCGGCTTCTTTTTGGGTCCTCGGCGGAATAATCTTGAAAAGATGCTAGGTTTGTACGTTTTTGAGAATTGTCGCAATTGCACAGCATTGCTACCAATTCGGTCCACATTCGTCTGGTTATGCAATATCTTTCGGCCTGACGTTTCATTGCTATACAGAGCATGCTCAATAAACGCCCCAATCAATGGGTAGGCAAATATCTGGATGATCAGAAATATCCAGATAACAATGCCTGGGAGATTTGAGGGGCTTCTAGAGGCCGCCTTCAATAAATCAGTCGGCATTTCCTGCTCCTCGAACCATGCCATATTGCTGATAAAGAACACGAAGGCGCAGGGGGTGAAGAAGATCGAAAGAAGGGCGACAGGGACAGTACCAGGAGAATTGAGGGTTTGCGAAAGAATTCCGAGTAGGGCGACGACCAAGATGGCAGTAATACCACTCAGCTGGGCCTTTCGGAAGAAGGATGCAAACAACATGGATATAGAAGAGAAGGCAAGGCCAGTGAGAACATGGAAAACGAGGACAATGCCAACGCTGGTTTTGGCGAAAACACCACCGCGAACAATAATGGAGCCAATAATCCATGCTGGTAGGTATATTAGAGAGAAAGAAAGATGGTGCGCAATAATCCTCGCGACCATGGCGAGCCACGGTTTTCGCACTGGCATCATGGCATCGATCAATGTGGACATGCCACTTTCGCGTTCAGTAGCGATGAAGCCAGTAAGATGATATGTGATCCAGATAACGGTTCCCAGAAACGCGACACCCATCCAGTCCCTTATGACCTTTTGGAATCGGCTACGAATCTCTCGGCCACGCTCCTTAGGAGTCAAGGTGGTGTAGGGGTATTCTTGGATGCCATTCAGGTCGTTGGTACTCGAACTATTAGCAAGTGAAATAGCTCTGTCGACGGAGTGTTGAAGCGGGATTACATAGATCTGCTGGTCGTTCGATTTGCTGATTTGGATTTTTGTGCCTGCGCGACTGAAGTCTCCATCAGCCCGAATGGTGTAGTTCCAAAGGCCCCCAGGGCCTTGATCAGGCGAAGAAAGCATGACGACAGCACCAAAGCATCTTGTTAGTCCCCTCAAGTTACTAGGGCATTGTGCCCTTAAATCCTGTTGACGGTCGACAGAGACAACCTCAAAGTTGACGTTTGCAGACTTGGCACCATCTTCGAATTGCTGCTTCACAGTGCTGAACACCTGGCCAATATTCCCTTCCGTGAAACCGTTGTTGACGAGG